CTGGCTTCTTTTGTTTTGTCATATAAGTCTAACAGTTCAAAGCACAATAAGAAGGAACTAGTTTTCTTCTTGCACAACAATCTTAAATACCGAGCACAGTCAGCTTACTGCTGCAGAGTAGACAGGAATGTAGAATGGAAAATACAAAACATAAAAGCAGATAACAGAAGCAATGTTACATTTCACTATTTTTAAATTAATTGTATAAGTTGCCCTAAGATCTATTACGCAGAGTGAGACTAATACATCTTAGAAATACATAGCTAGAAAGATAGATGGATAGATATTTAAGGGTGTGATCCTGTGCTTATCTAATGAAGAGTAAGCCACATGAATGTAAATGGGACTTGTTTCTAGGTAAATGAAAAGGCACAATCCTATGTGTGTATAGAAAGAAAAAAACTCCTACAACCCCCTTATTTGGCTGGGGAATGCACCCTTAATGTCTCACTAGAATCTTCCCTAACCCGATTCCTATCATTCCCAGCATATCCAATAAGATTATGAGGGTTGTAGTTCAGCACATTTGGTACACCAATTTGGGGAAGGCTGCCTTAGGATCAGTAACAAGCATACGTCAGACAAGCATTTGTTCAGCCAAAGTGAAGCTTGTTCAGCCAAAGTAAAGTGAGATTTGGACTTTAAGATGCCACACATTTTTAGCATATAGGTCAAAAACTGACTGGATCAAAATGGGTGTCCCTCTGAGACTTAGTGTCAGCATTTTTTCCTAATGAACGGGCATTTTATTTACCTTTAATGGTAGCTAAGAAAGTGAAGGAGGACTTTTTCACTCCAGTCAGTAGTATTGTGTGAGGGAGAAACCTCATTCCTGTTGTAATAGATGGAAGATATTTTGTTGACTCTCATGCCATGTGCTTAAATCAACTGAAGAGTCAAATAATGCTAGAGTATGACCAACTTGTTCTTGGTGAGCAGCACTACTGAATGGATCTGTGGACCCTTGAACACACTTGAGGTGAGCCATCCATTCCTCTTCAGTCCTCCATCACTCCACCCTACTCTGTGGAGTGCTGAACCCGAAGAACAGAACCCTAAGTCCTGTTAGGGTTTTACTTCTAGCCCTCTGCTGCAAGAGAAGTCAAGGTACTGCTTCTTGTGCCCTGAAGCCACTTCTGCCGTCATTCTGCTTTTCGGCTTCCTGTGGAGTAGAAGCTGCTTCAAGAAGAGGAAGAGTTGCCTTGCTCACTTCCCATAGAGTTTCATTTTAGACTGGGATACTTCTTGATAAGTTCATGTTACCTCTCATAGCCCCCTAGTCCTAAAAGAATTAAGAAATGATGCATTGTTTGGGAAGGTAATGGAAGCATACCTTCCTGTTCAAATATAGCCTTTGAAATTAATGCTTAGAAATCATTCTTATGTTCCTGTGTGTTTTAAATATTAAACCTAGCCTATCAGTATGAATTTTACAAGGCCTCTGATACAGACCCAAGGCTTCTGTGATGTGACTTTTGAAAAAAAAGCTAGCAAAGGTCTAACTGATGCATGCATGCGTGTGTGTGTGTATGTATTCCTACCTTGGTCAGCAGTGTGTCCGACAAAAAGCCTGCTTCTTTGTTCCTAGATCCTTATTTATGAAGTAAAATCAAACTAGGCCAATTCCATGCTTCATCTTGTATTAGAAGCTAAGAAGTTCCTGAAATATTTTACCTCTGCCACTTCAAAAGTGAAACCTATCATCTGATGAAATACCAAAATCTTCTATCTTTAAGGAACTGAATTGAATCCTGGTCTTCCTGTTAAATTGTGCAAGGAAAGGAAGAGGTTTATCTGTTTGTTTGTTTTAAAATTTAATCCTATTGTATAAGTTGAAGGGCAGGTAGACAGAGACAGCTACCTGTTCCTTTAATAGCTATCTAGATGTGGGGATTTATCTCCTTTCTATTATTATTACTGGTGTTTGAATATCTTATCATGTTGGGATGATTTTTCAAGAGGGTTTCCTTGATCTAAAATCTAGGGAATTATCCCTATCCTAGGCCATGAAACTTAAAAAAAAAATTTAGTCTGAAATCCGGATTATTTCCCTCAAACTAAGGCTGTGGTGCCAGTACAAATGCACTTCTATTCATTATTTGTATCCTGTAATTATTTGAAAGAGGGACAGAGTTTTAAAATACCTATCTCTGTTGAGCACTGAGTTTGTAGTAAAAAATGGGTTCAAATCTAGTCAGGGGCTGCTTAACTGGGGTTATTTCTCCAGTCATCCTGTCTCCCAGTTGTCCAGTCAGCATCTATGTCATTTTGGGTGTTGATGTATCACACTACATGCTTCAGTTTACACTGAAGGGGAAAAGAATGTTTGGCAATCACTGTACTTGAAGATAGTGCACCTTGATTTATGTGTTAGTACGTGAAAAATTTGTTCTGGCCTCGGTGCAGATTGGACTGTGAGTCTGTCTTCACAGCTACGGGTCGCATCCAATCAATACTTGCATGTAAACTAATCAATCTTGAACTTTATTGAAAACACAACATGTACAGCAAGCAACTAATAAATGCAGAGCGTTGAATATTTAACTGCAGAAGGAGCATGAATAAAAGCCAAATCAATTATAATAAATGGGATGGATGAGATGAAGAGACAATGCAAGGCCAGGCCTTGCAGGCTGTAACTCAGATTAGCAGCAAGCAACCAAGTCAGAGGATCATCCCTAATGAAGAATAAACAAGTTTAAACTGGACTAAAAGTTCTCCCTAGGATGAACCAATCTTTGCACACAAGAAGGCCTGGCCAATTTCTGACAGATCTGTACAGGGAAAAACAAAACAGTTCTAAATGCAAAAACTACAGTTCAGTAGGGCAAATAACACAATGCCCAGTTGGGGCAGAACACTATTTTTGCTTCTGAGGGTTTGCCAGACTGCAGACAAGGTCTAAATGAGATGCATGTAAGCCTCTGAATTTGGAGGCTCATTCTTATGTGCATACTCACCAGACGGCCATTTCTGGATGTGTAGCAACTGCAACTCATAAACGGAGGGGAAGGAGGCTGAAGCAGCCCTGTCTCTTGCTGCTCCAGTTTCCTCCCCTTCCTGACGGCTTTTCCACCTCTCCAAGGTTGCTTCCCCAACTCCAGGTGTCTTGTTCCTTTGCTTTCTGCTAGGAGAAGAGGGTTTGGAACACTGGTCCCAGCTATGAGGTCAGAGTGCTGCCACCCAACCTTAGAGCTGGGAATCCAGACTATTCTACCCCTGCCAATGTCTACAGGCCATAGGATCTCTCCTTAAAATAAACCTTTTGAAACTAGAAGGGATCCCCGTGCTTCGAATCAGTAGAAGCCATTGTGGATGCAAAGGAATCCAGTCTTTCATGCCTGCCCTCATTCACACTCATTACCGTGCGGCTGTAGCTACTCATTACTAATGTGGGATCTGCAGGGAGGCATGAACTGCTTGAGCAAGCCGTTAGGACTCGGCATTAGGAATCAATTATGGAATTATATCAACAGGTGGAAATAATATACTGCCAAGTATGCACCTGCTGCCATTTCTCCAAGCCAATTAGCAGTAAACTGTACAGTAGGTCCTAAAGCATGGGTTTTATGGGTACAGTTGTGAGAAATTGCTGTTTGTGAACATGTGGAATAGATATGGGGTGGAAGGAAGAGCAACTGCTTCACTTTAAGCTGTTGCTTTAGAACTGTGTGCAGATAGACCAAAAATGAAAAAGAGAGAGAAAATCCCTCCTTCTAAATTTTGAATAGGCAGCTCTTGCACAGAAGAGCACTTGTCTCTTTTTGTTATACGTTTGACATTTTTTTATGCTGTTTGACATTTGAAATAAAGAAATTGTCTCTCTTTTATAATGTGAAAATCACTTGGATCTGCCTGGGAGAGACACCTCAGTATTGTTCCTAATTGTTTTTGTGCACCCAAATTAAAATGCACGTTTTAATTGCTGCATCTGTAATTTTAGCAGAAATGGTATAATTACAGGCGTGATGCAGAGAGAATGTGCATCATCCCTTTATTATGTATCCACATTTTGGTTTCAACCTTTTGTCTCAACCTTGTCTGGGGTCTGTCAAACAGACTAACGGAGGCGATGCTCCCTCAAGAAACATTTTAACTGTGACTTTTTCGGTTTTCAACAATTATCCCACTTTTTTCATTGTAACAAAGGAAGCTATAAATGCTGGCAAAATGCAGGGAAGTTATGGCTGCTTCATCTGAGTCAATTTTTTAACTTGAAATAATTGGGTCATCTCTGATTATGTACTGCACAGCCTTTTTTTATGTTTTGTCACTGGACAGAGCCAAGTTGTCTTGAAATCGAGGTGTTAAAATGGCACACCCAAAAGGAAATTTGTAGAAGAGCAATGAATTAGCACATTTAGCCTACCTGAATGCTAATGTAATGCTGTTTTGTAAACATTACTATTTTTAGAAGACTGAATTTGCAGACGTAGTCATAAAACATTCTCATTACTTCTGTGAAATTAAAATATCATGAATTGCTGCACACGACCTTTTTGAGATCTTCTTTGTAAAGTGAATCTTTGTGTCTTTACCAAACAAGGCCTTCTATAACAGAACATCTGTCCTCAGTGTTTGTGTGGGTAAGTTTTAGAATGAAATGGCAGTCCATGAGCAGCTGGATGGCTGGACTTTCCCAAGACTTGACTACTATTTTCTTGGGCTGTATCTAGTTGTTAGGAAAGTGTTGCCCATATTTTAAAGAATGCATTCAACAAATAGTGCCATGGTGCTTTTTTATGAAACCTTTTAGTAAAGGTTGTTCTGTGTTGCTGTTTTCCAGTTTTGATCGATATGTTCTTTCTGGGCAGTAATTTAGTGAAGTGAAGTAGTAATTACAGGTAGAACATCCATTTGGGGTGGTGCCTTCAGGTGACTAAGAACTGCCCTCAGGTGAATCAAATACACGTACAGAAACTTCATAAAAGATGGTTCTTCATTTTTAAGCCCTGAGTGGCTTGTACAACAAATAATCTTATGTGTACCCAGGGTAGAGTATAAACCATATAGAGCATAAGAACATATACCATATAATAGTACAAGAACTGCTAACCAGCAATTTTTAAAAGCAATTACAAAAAACATGTAATATAAGCAGCACTTACTCGTAAAACAAAACCCAAACAAAGCCCTCACAGCAGCAGGATGCTACACTTTAAAAGCTGCAGCACAAGAGTATTTACAATCCACCCCTTTTCCTTCCAAGGAACCCAGGGTGTCTCACATAAGTCTGCTCCTCCTCTCAATCTTATCCTCACAGCAACAGCCCTAGGAGGTATGTTGGGCTGAGAGTTGGACTGGCCCGAAGTCACCCAGTGAGCAGCATGGCCAGGTGGGGACTAGGACCTGCATCTCCCGAGTCCCGGCCCAGCACTCTTAACCACTACACCACACTGGCTCTCCATACTGGATGAAGCCATTTTTTTTCAATTTAAACAAAATTTCCTTGACAAATTAGCACAGGTTCATTGGCATAATATGATTTTAGATATTTTAAATGTACTTTTATTCCATGTTGTTTCTTTTTATTCATTACTATGGGATTTATGAAATACAAAGCAACATAAAATCTGGTAAAATGAATTACATAAATACAAAATAGGGATTGAATATAATTTTTATATATTTATTAAAAGCTTTTCTATCCCGTCCCCTACAGAACGTCTCTGGATAGCTTACAATAAATAAAATGGCTAGAAGTGGCCTAGAATCTGCAAAATCAGTTTCTCTCAACAAAGCTGGACTTTTCTCAAATGAACATTTCATAGATCTTAGCATGATTAGTATTACTTGTTCTATGCTATAAACAGAGATTGCTACCTTTCCAAAGGTGTTACTGGGGGCAGGAAAGGAGAATATGTCCTTGTTTTAATTCCACTGGGGCGCCCTCATTCTCTGAAGATAAGCAAAAGGACAAACTGCCGTTATAATACTATTGTACAGAAAAAGCTTAGCTGCAAGTAGAATGTTGGTTCAGGCCAGCCTCTTACTGCAGTACAATTTTTAGTTCCTTTTTGTATGAAAATGTAAACAGGCATTAAGTGATTAATTTTTATTTGTAGAAAATATTTTTCGTGCTGTATGCCTAAATAATTATCTCATCAGTATCCCAATGTGTGCTTTGTTTTCAGGTTTGCTTGGAGAATTATGTTACTGTTGTGGTATTTAAATCTACTTTTTAAAAGTATATACTCTTTTGTCTTCAGAAAAGACCCTGTTTCAAGCAGATCATTTCCATCTTGGACTCCATGTCAAATGATAGCAACCTTCCAGACCAATGCAACTCATTCCTGCATAACAAGGCAGAGTGGCGGTAAGTCTTCACACTTTGGGCAGCTCAGTGTGAAATGATTTGAAGTGGGAAACTGAAACATTATCTGAAAAGCAGAGTCTTAAAGATGTCAGTTTCTGAATTCCTGGAATTACCCAAGTAACTCACTAGTAAATATGTAAGTCATTACGTGTTTTCACATTCATTATTCCTGTTCGTTTGTGAAACGCATTTGCAGAGTTTGTGGAATGTGTTCTGAGTATTAATGCAAGCTGTACTTTAATGCAGCCTGTTTTTTTTAATTACTACTTTTCTTGAACTAGAGATGAGCCTCAGATTTGATTTGTGCTTACCAAAACTTGCTACTTGTAAACATGGACTCTTAATCCAAAACTAAGACTTGTGCTACAATTTTGTTGTGAAGAGTTAGGAACATTAACCCTCAAGGTCCTGGCGGCAACCTTACTATCTTTTTGGCGCCAGGTAAAGACTGTCCTCTCCTGCAGGGCATTCAGGTAGCTTTTGGGGCCTGCTAGCTGCTAACAGGTGTGAATATTTCTCCTCCTCCTCCTCCTTATTTAAGTTAACAGTTAAGCTGTTTAATATGTGGTTTTAATTTTTTATTGTAAACTTTTAATGTTTTAATATGTTTTTATAAAATTTTATTTTTTTAAAAGTGTGCTTTGTGAACCATCCAGAGAGCTTAGACTGTTGGGTGGGATAGAAATTTAATAAGTAAATGAATGCATAATGAACAATCCCTGCCATCTCGGTTTGCACAATACAGCAAGCCATCTGTCCATGGGCAGTGGCACCACTGGACCGCCTCATAAGTAAGTTAAGCTACGATGGGCAGTTGTGTTCCATAAATCAGGCCACTGAGTACTGTACAAATAGGTTTTGGTATACTCGAACAGACCATTTCTGACATTCTTTGGAATTAAAAAGCTATTTGAATTATTCTTGTGCTTATGTTCACTATGCTGATTATAGTAAACTTATACTATACTATATTATACTATACCACACCTAATTGTTCTATCTATTTAACAATATTAATGGATCGGTTGTATTAAAGGACTTTCTAAGTGATGTATAAAATAACAGGGTTTCAGATAAGGGGCCATTGGGTCCAACCCCTTGCTCAGTGCAGGACTCCAAGAGTTAAACCATCCCTCTCCAGTTGCATCTTGAATGCCTCTAGTGTGGGAGAGCCCACAATCTCCATAGGTCATTGGTTCCATTGTCATACTGCTCTAAGAGTCAGGAATTTTTTCCTGGTATCTAGCCAGCATCTGGCTTCCTGAAACTTGAACCCATTATTCCACTTCCCACACTCTGGAATGATTGAGAAGGGATCCTGTCCTTCCTATTTATGACAGCCTTTCAAGTACAAGAAGAGTGCTATCATGTCTGTCCTCAGTCTTCTCTTCTTGAAGCTAAACATGCCCAGTTCTTTCAGTCTCTGTTCATAGATCATCCAGTCACTGGATCATCCTTGTTGCCCTTTACAACTTGCCTGAGTCTTTCTTAAACTATGGTGCCCAGAACTTGACATAGTGCTCCAAGTGAGGCCCAACCAGTGCTGAGTAGAGGGGAACTAGTACTTCACATGATTTGGAAGTGATACTTCTACTAATGCAGCCCAGAAGACCATTGGCTCCTTTTTGTAGCCACATCACATTGTTGACTTATTTTCAGTTTGTGATCTACAACAATTCCAAGATCATTCTCACTTACAGTATTTTTGAGCCAAGTATTCCCCATTTATGGTGGTGCATTTGGTTTATTTTTTCTGAGTGCAGAACTTGGCACTTGTTCCTACTGAATTTCATTCTGCTGTTTTCAGCCCAGCACTCCAGCCTACTAAAATCACCTTGAATCTTCTTTCTGTCTTCCAGGGTATTAGTTATATTGCCCAGTCTGATAGTCATTCCCTGCATTTCCTCATCCAAATCATTAATTAAAATGTTGAAGAGCGCCGGGCCCAGGAATGAACCCAGCAGTACTCCACTTGTTACCACTTTCCAGTTTGAGAAGGTGCCATTGATGAGCACTCTTTGTGTCTGATTCTGTAGCAAATGATGAGCTGAATAATACCTGTATAGTTCAGGTGCCTCACTCAGCCCTTTCAAAGTCCATTTTTCTTCTTAATCAAGATTACCCTTTTTTTAAAATTGCTTTTGTGGACTCCAAATTAAAGATTACAACCTGAAACCAACTCTGCATCCAGTGGAGCCTAATTTGAATGGCTACAGCTTCTCCCACTTTCTGTTCTCATGCCATGAGCCAGCGTAGCCTTCATGGCTTGAACACGGTCGAACTACCACCCCATTCCTTGTTTGGGTTACCTATGTCAAACTTGCCAGATGATGAGCTCTGTAGAACTCAAAAGCTTGGAAATGTTTTGGGGGACTTTTGATTTGTCCAGGAAAAATTATTACTGATTTTGGAGTTTCTTTTGGAATTAAAATTTACAACCAACTTAAAAGTTTTTCAGCAACTATAAGAAGGGCCAGGAATGGTGAACTGTGAACAATTAAGGTTTAAACACCTGGTGCTAGAAGTTCTAAATTCTAAATTTGGAAGACATGTTTGTAGTCACTACTGGACCACAGGTGCGTGGGTGCCCTCTTGCAGGGCTCTTACACACTTTTCACTGTTCCTTGGAAGGCCGCAAGGTAATCTAAGCAGGGTTGATCGGGCATCCTGTAATTCATGGCCTGATTTCCTGACCAGGGCCCCCGCCTATTCAGTGTCCTGTCCTTGCATATGCAAACGCTGATAGTGAGCTAGAACTCACAGATTCTTCCAGTGTACATCCAGTATTAATAACACCCATAAAGAGTGTATTTCAGCCTAAAAACAATTTTGGAGCATTTAAAAAAATGCACAGTACTAAGCATGTTTTCTCAGCACTTAGTCTTACTGTACTAATTGGGACTTGATTTCAGGAAAGTGTGTGGAGAGGGGCCTACAGATCTTGTTGGAAACTGCCCATCGATTTGTCTTACCTATGCAGCAATTAAAACATTTAGGTTGAAAGTGTTTCCAAGGCCTATTGAAAAGGGAACGGTATAAGCAGAGGATCATCACCCGGCGAACTTTGCAGTAGTTCTAAATTAAGAATCTTTGGCCACTTTCCAGGTTGGCATGAAGCGCAATTCAAAGAAAAACATTGAAGGAAAGTAGAGGGGGTCTAAAGAACTGGAGTATTAAAAAGAGATTTATAGAAATAAGATTTATCAAGCAAAGCATCCTAACCCAAAGAGAACTATGAAAGTGGACTGATAAGAAGAGAATTTTATGCCATGCTTGGAAAAAGTGAGCACAGGATGGGGCGTTTGAGCCAAGTCACATGATGCAAGTATAAATAGCTGTTTTAGAACTGACATTATTCTCCCACTGACTCAGCAGAGTGCGGCAGTAACTGACTGCAGCACAGCACTCCGAAGATCACAATACATTGCGCCACCTTCTGATTCAAAATGAAAACTGCACGGGAGAACTTGCAGTAGCTTACTATATAATCTTGACAATCCTAAAACCTTGTTTTCTGCCTACTTGGAATTGCATCCACTGGGGGAACTTGCTTCTTAGAAAATCTGCTTAAGATAGCAGCACACACATCGTTTTAAGCTGAAACAAGAAATCCCATGTCCCTCCTTGTTAAACCAGGAAATGTGTGCAAATGGTTGCTAAGATCTTGAAATCCATGTATCTCTTTGAGGCAGTTACCATCTTTTAAAAATGGCTATTGGTGAGGGATAGTTAGGATGCCTGTAGCTGTCACTGCTCTGCTTTTGTATGCTAGTTTATTTTTTTAGAGGTTAGACTTGGAAAGCTAATAGCCCAGTCCTATGGGCTTTTGTATGAAGTAAGTTCAGAATGGGTCATAAGAGCCACTGTGCAAGTGCTGTGTCTCAAAACATGTAATTGTGTTGGAATAAGCTGCTGCTTGTTTTGGGACCAGCAACAATGTGCCAGACATGTAGAAGCAGCATGCAGTTTTTGGCATATAAATGGGTGGAAAGGGAATACAGTAGGCACTTGATCTCAGATACATCATAAAGATATGTCAGTTACCATGGACCCTGGTACACTGGTCTGAGTTTGCACAATTCAGTTAACAGCACCCTTTTTATAATAGGATGTTAATGGATGGCATTCGCTTGCCAAACCAAAGATGCAGTTATATGTTTGATAAAGGAACACTGTGCACATGGATATGTGCATTTCATTTAAACTTGGGTATCTGCATGTGTTGAAGATACCTGGTTTAAAAATGCTTTGCTATTATTTGCTGGTTTAGAAGCATAGAAACAGAGCAAGTCAGAAGGGGCCGGCTCTGCTCACAACAAGCCCACCATGTGCATGTCTAGCCTATCCTTGAACACCTGCACCGATGGGGCCTCAACCACCTCCTGGGGAAGCCCATTCCACACCCTTGGGGTCCTGACTGTCAGGAAGTGCTTCCTGGCATCCAAACGAAACCTTGGCTCCTTGAGCTTTGCTCCGTTGGAGCGCATTTTGCCTTCCTCTGCAGGGGAGGTCTCTACCCATCTCCATGTGACATCCCTCACATACCTGTATGTCGCCAACAGATCCCCTCTGAGTCTCCTCTTCTCCAGGCTGAAGAGACCCATTTCCCTCAGTCTCGCCTCATCCCCCATCCCCTGCAAACTGGCCACCAACCTTGTGGCCCTACGCTGCCCTGACTCTAACCTTGCTATATCCTTCCTGTAACGAGGGACCCAAAGCTGAACACAGTACTCCAGTTGTGGGTACACCAGAGTCATATAGAGTGTTAGTAATACCTCTCTTGATCTAGAAGCCACACTTCTGGCTATGCAACCAAGGGTGGCATTTGCCCTCTATAGCTTCTAGGAAGCGATGTGACCTGGCTGTCACCGTCGAGTGCGTCTCCCAACTAATATCTGGGAGATTGAAATCTCCCATAATTACTGTGTCTCTCCCCTGAGATATCCTTAGAATCTGATCTGACAGGACATCATCCAGGATCTCAAGTTGACCTGGAGGGTGATAACATATCCCCACTGTCAGGTCCTTCTCCCTGTCAAAGCCCCTTAGTTTCACCCAGACTGCCTCTACCAGATCCCATCTGCACTGCATTCTATCTCACTGCATCCTATCCCTTCCCTGACATATAAAGCTACGCCTCTGCCCCTCTTTTCCTTCCTGTCCTTTCTAAACAGGTGATACCTCTCTCTGTTTACATTCCAGTCTTGCCTTTCATTCCAACAAGTTTCCGTGATCCCCACCAGGTCATACCCTCCTATTTTCAGGAGAGTTTCAAGCTCTTCCTGCTTATTACCGATGCTCCTAGCATTGGTGTACATGCACCTCAACTCCTCGCATCTTCCTTTCTTTGGAATCCCCAAAAATGCACTGCTATTATTTGCTACATATATTTTGCTGTTTTACTTACTTACTTACTTTAATTACTTCCTAATTCTTGACATCTGTAGATGCCACCAAAGTATTTTTGTGCTTAGCTATATAAATGAACATTAATATGTTGTCAGAGGGTTGATGCAAAAACTTGCCCACTTCATGGCCACAGGATGCTGAAGGGGTAGCCACAAGTAGCATCTGCAAGCTAACTTAAAGATAAATAAATAGGCTTTGCTCCTTATGTTATCAATAAACAAATCTTAAAGTGACTTTCATGAGGGATTCTATAAGGAATATTCAAGTTTTCCTCTTCTGTAAATACAATAAATAGCCACACTGAATAGAACATATATTCTGTTCTATGCTATATACTGCATCAGCAGTTATTGGACATCGTATATTATTAGATTGAAATGTGTTTTAGAAACACCTGTAAGAACTCCCTGAATGACTAGTACATTGCAAATTGGAGGCCTTCCTCTAAAGCACTGCAAAAATGCAGCTTATTCTGACTAAGACTCAATGTGAATCAATAATGTAGAATAAATCTTGGCTAGAAATGAGGTGAAAGTGATGGGTGGGGAAAGAATGAAAGGTAAGCTAAGATGAAACCAGAACTCAGCTATATTCTATTGTTACCATAGGACAGCATGACCTGTTTCATAAAAGGTTCCTTAGAAATAGGAGTGAGTTCTAATGAATTTCCTAATCCTTAAAATAACAGGTTGAAAACTGAATTGCTGTAGTGGACACAAGGAGAGAGAAAGTTAGAATGAAGAAGAGGAAAATACATTTAGAATGCATTGCTAAAAGTTCTGGACAAGAGTTTCATTTCTGTATTCTCAATATTTGAAAGGAAATAATTTCAGCATGAGGGCTTTTATGTTTTGAACTTAGAAAGTTCCAGAATTTCTTGGATGGTATTAACTTACATTTCTTGTTTAGATCTCCTTCTTGATTTTATAGCCCACTGTTTAGGTTTACAGTTGTCTCTAATATGTAAATCTAAACATCCAAATCTAAAGTTCTGAAGCAGATCTATTTCTGTTTTCTTTTTGGCATGTATTCCATTAAATACTTCTGTGCATACATTTTTAATGTAAGTGGTCAGAATAGAAACTTTCTTCCATATGGTTTGGGAATCCCCAAAACAGCACAAGATATGCTATAGAGTTGCACCATGGGAATCTGCAAACATCATCTCCTTTCCTCGTCCCTTTGTGGAGGTCTTCAGTAAATCAGATTCTTTCACAAAGTGAAAGAGTCCTTCTGTTTGTGGAAGGGCATGATTGGATACAGACCATTATTAAGATGGTTGTTCAGTTTGGAATAATTACCTTGGAATTTTTTTACCTTGTTTCAATTCGTACTCCATGCATCACCAAGAGACTTGGGCCAACTTCCATTCACAACATGGAAAACTCAATACATCAGTAGCAGAAAGCCCAAGGAGAAAGAGAAAGGGAGATAAATACAGTGCCCTTGTATTCTTTGTTACAAGCTTTTAATAAACTGACTGAGAGTCTAGAGGGTGCTAGGTCATGAGAAAACAAGTAAGCAAAGTTAATCTGCATGAGGATGGGGGGGAAACAGAATACACACGACCAGTGATATAAGATATAAATTGCTATGCTTGTGGAGTAAAAGACTCATTAACCGGGCAATGTACAGGACCCCTCCATCTAATTGCACTGTTTTATTATACTCTAAAAAAAAGAAGCATGCAGCTGTTTTTCCATCTGACCTTTTCTTATAAAGAAATGTTTGCCTAATGAGGGGAGATAATTACAGTACATACACAGTATGTTTTTAACATATAGAAGGTGGTGTTCCCAAGGACAGATATTTTTTTAAATAGCATATTTATAAAATTTTAAAATGAACAGGCACACATGCATGTGCATAAAGATCAAGGTCCCATGGTGATCCTATTTTTGGACTTGCCGCGTGAGCATGGCTAGGTTTGCATGATCATGGGGGAGAAAAGAAGCAGTGGTAGTTTCATTTCCTCCTCCCCTGCATGCTGGTTGCACATTTGCCTAATTACCTTTGTGGTATGTGGCTTCCAGTCTCATCCGAATCTGGTGATGTGCTAATGGGGGTTAACTCTGAAGCCACCTCAGAAGAAACCATGGATTCTGGGGTGGGGGGGGTGACAGAAGCCATCCCTTCCTTGTACCCCTCTAGGTTTGAATGACAGAGGAGGCAGACCACCCTGGAAGGGTAATTAGGAAAATTCTGTGTCTTATTTTCCTCCTGTAATCATGTGAATCCTGCAAAGTGTGGTTTATATTGTTGACAATACATTTTTATATGTGTGAAGTGTAAAATGTCATAGGAATCATTATCCAAGCAGAGTATATTCCCAAAGAGGCTCAGGTGGTAGAAAATGCAAAACTGTTCTCTTTCTTAAAGCTTGGCTGTGATTTGCCCCAAGCATCTATATTCTGTTGCTTTTCATCACCACATATGTGGATCTAGAATGTAATTGTTTTGTTCTGTCCTTCTTTACTCCTTTTTGTCATAAATATTGCACTGATTCAGCCATCCCAACACCATGTATAATGTGACACCACTGCAGCAACTCACAGTGTGGTTGCAACAGGCCACATGTCGCGTTTCCCAAAATGTTACCAGCAGGAGGGGACAAAGAAGTGCAGAGTGAAAATGGTTCTTCTTCTCTCATACTAGTTGGTTAAGTGCTTAATATTTGGATCAGGGGTACATAACAGATTATTAAATGGATCACTGTATTTTACTGGGCAACACTAGTGTCTGTTTAATGGGGCCTGCTGCATGTCAAGCACCTTTGACATTTCTTGCCAAGACCTTCTTGTTGACAGTCATGGGTCATTTGAATGTTCGGCACATAATTCAGGCACAAGAAAAGCTTGGCAGTAGATTGACACTGAATCATGACTCTGTCTTTCAAGCATCCTTTCTGCCTATGCAGTATAAGTCACAGCAGAAAATTCTGGAGTCCTGGCCATACGAAGAGGCAGAGAGAAATCTAGTGTTTAAAAAAAAATCATTGGTGGAATGTTTTCAAGTAATGTAGCAGCAAAATTATGGTAGCGCTTCAGTGCACTACAATTTTTTCAAATAGGGAACATGAAGGTTCGAAATAATACAAATTGAATTTAAGATTTTTGTATCTCTTTTAAATGAAATTGGTTTTTGAAAATGTCATGTGAAGCAACTAGGGCAGCTTAAATTTACATTGCTATTATAACAACAACATTCGCTAAAACATATCTTTCAAGGCAGCCAAATTTTTAAGCTAGAAAAAATACTTACCTATGTAAAAAAATTTACATTGCAACCATATGCATGTTTTATTAGATGTATGTAAGCAAATTTTTAACTTGTAAATGGGGTTGTTTTGAAAAGTGGCACTCACCACCTATATTCTGAAGTGATGCACCTCAGACCCACTTAATTCTGCCTCACATGTAAGGAACTTAATTTTATAACATTCAGGTAAAATGGAATAAAAAACAGCAGCACAAACACAGGGATCTAACTTTCCCACCCCTCTTTTGGAGTGACATTTCTGGGCTTTATTTCCTAGTATGAACATTTTTTGCTTTGTTTATGGTTCAAAAAGCCCTCTCTTGGTAGTAATTAAATGTCCTGCTTGAGTTAGTACTGTACTTTGCACACTTTCAAATGTAATTAATATTCATGTAGAAAAAAATTATGAACAATTTGTACTTGTCAGGGAAAGACATGACTTAACAAATTGTCTCTGTGTAGATGTGAAATAGAGGCCACCTTAGACAGGCTAAAGAAACTGGAACGCGATCTGAGCTTTAAGGAGCAGGAGTTGAAGGAACGGGAGAAACGCTTGAAGATGTGGGAGCAGAAGCTGACTGAACAGTCCAATACACCTGTAAGTACATACAGGCTTGCTCTTTTATTGATCATCACGGTAGAACCTGAAATTCCAGCAAAAGCTGGCTTCCAAAGAACTGATTAAGCTATGCTTGGTAGGATTTCACACTATGAACACTAGATTACCATGTCCTATTGGAGAGGACCTCATTGATCTGTGACCAGAACAAATAATTCTCTTGTTTACATTGGAGAAGGCTTTTGGAACTCCCCACTGTTTTAAAATGACTTGCCATGATTCCGGCTCGTGTACAGCCTTGTTCAGGTGTGTTCTCACAAAGGTAGATCGAACATGTGAGGCCGGAGAATGTTTCAGCTCCATCCCTCTGCCTCCAACAGTCTGGCTCACATGAAGAGCCTCCCCAGAAAAAGGATGCTGTAATCCGTTAACGGAGTGGGATGGCGACACACACAGAGGAGGTGGGGCTGCAGCAGTGTCCCTTCTTGTGCATTTTAACGGCCTGAGAAAGAGAAGGCCTGAACAGGGCTTGTACTTAGCTTTGTGTTGAAAAGCAAAGTACCTGATACCTTAAGTAAGCCAAAGCAACAGGTTCTGCCTGTTGTTTCAATCCCTTTAATGCATCCTGTAACTATCAGGTACTACATTATCAAGGCAAGCCCAAAGAGCTCCACCCAATGCTTGTTTAATGGGGCTTACTCCCAGGTAAGTGGGGCAACCTTACTGCAATTGTTGGGTCTCTGGCTAATGAAGGAAAACTCCCACAGCTGCTTGTGGGTTTTTTCTGTAGGAGACAACAGGAACTCCCTGGGACATAGGCAAATCAGCTCTTTTAGATCAGCAAGTTCTAATTTTGGTTGGTTAGCGACCACTGTTCTCTGTGTGTCAAATTATACTGCTAATATCAACACATACAGAATCCCAGCACAGATCCCACAAGCACTTTTAACATGCAAATGGAGCTGTTGTGCTTGTATGGAAGTTCTCATTGCAGGGAGGCACCCATGCAAGCAGAGGAATGCACATTCAATTCAGCTTCTTCCACTGAAGTGAATGATGCTCTCCTGCATCTAGTGGAGCCTATGAGGGCATCCTGCATTAGTGGAGCCTATGAGGGCATTAAAAACTCTGAACCATTATCATTTGCCATGCTGAATCTGCGATTGTAGCAATACTTAGGATTTTAATTATTATTCATTACACTTGTGTCCCACTTTTCCTTCAAGAAGCGCAGAACATCTGAATGGGGGACTGCCTGGGATTTCCACGTAAGACACTGGCCAGGCTGTGTTCTGCTTTGCTTTAACAGTGTGTTTGCATATGTGCCTACAGATCACTTGACAGCAGTATTTTTTTTTTAAAGGAATGGATTCTGATAAGCAGTCTGTATAAGCTGCTGTTTGTTATAAAAATTAGAAACTGATTGGATCCAGTTCTCAAAATCTGTTTGAATAAGATTCTTTACTAATACAGTAGGGCCCTAAAGGTAGTCTGGTGCAGGAAAGAAATCCAGAAATGAATGCCAGTGATATGATACAGTGAAGTCTAAATCAAAGCTTATATAAAGACAGTGGATCTCAGGAGGAGAACTAGCAGGCAGATTTACAGAGCCACCATGAAAATCCCTTTACTCATATTAATTTGTAAATGAATGTTTCCTTATATGAATGAAGGACAAACATAAGTAGCATTTTCTATGTGAAATGGAACTCATCCTTTAGAAGTAATTACCACTTAATTTCAGATGCAGTGGAATCACATGCTCAAGAAAAGAAAGCAAGAAAATGGGCATGTAAAATATGCTTTCTGGTAAAACAGGAAACATGTTGAGATATTTGATGTAAATGAACTGCAGGCCTCCTGTTTGCATTACTTACCCTCAAATCCATGTCGATACGTTCTGCATGTGTTAGTCTCTGTTGCCCTTTTATGATAGACTTTACAGTACACATTATAATTATTCTTCAACATAAGGAGCAATTCTGGCCTGTTCCGCTGGTTTGGCACCTTCTTTCCGAGGCACAGCTTAATGGCATCTATCTGAATGACACCGCATGTGTATTCCAGCTGTGAACATGCAGCAGCATATAATGATGAAGCATGAGTATTTCCCAGAAGCAAGGTGCTCTGTGTTCTCAGTAGGCAGCCTGGAGGCTTCCTTTAATGTCTGCGAAGATCCAGTAGCTAAGAGATGGGCCATCACCTACATGGTGCACAGCATGAAACATAGCCCTAATGAGCCAATCTTTCCATGAGCCAGGCTACGGATTTTTGTGCTGCGCTTGCTTATCACTTCTACTTTTCACTGGCTGGCCCTGCTGAAGGCGTTGTGCTAAAGCCTATTGTGATTAGTATATACTTCTTTTCTGTAGGACACTAACACAGCCATCCTGTCACAAGCAAATGCAGTTCTGACTGAAGATAATGCAGAGAGCAGAGTATCTTTTAGATTTCTTGAATGAGCAGCCATAGAGCTGGAAGAGATTTTGAATAATGAAAGGCTTGCTGTTCCTCGCTATGCCCTTCCCCTCTTTCCTCAAGAAATTAACTGCAGAATACTTTGATTTGCTAAAATAAATCCTAGATACATGGGTATGTAGAAAAGCACAGATGTGCTCAGATGTTCCGTGAAAATAGGAAGCCCTGTTGGCAGGAGGTCTGTATTCCTTCTTTATGAAGGTGGAAGCAGAAACAATTAAGATTAGGATGAAGAAGAAATTCACGGATGTGCATACCCAATTCCATATCGGTGAAGAACCATCCATATCCTACCCTCAGAAACTCCATTCACAGCAAGAATAGTATGACAGATAGGAGGCTACACTCGCTTTCTGTTTCCTTGACAGGCAAGAAAATAGATGCATGTATACTCTTTACCTTCTGTTAAACGTTTTGGCTTTCACTTTCATTAGTGACACTGAAGGCATGTCTCACTTCACAGTAAACCACCCTGGAAATAGCCCTCCCTGGGTTGGTTATATTCTCACTAACCTGACAGAGGGGTGGGCACTGTGGCAGCTCTATGTGGTTTGTTTCCCCCTCAGTCTTCTCACGAGTCTTCAGCATGTGTTGAAGGCACCTCGGTGGCAGAACTCTTTTCTTCTCTGCCTACATCAGCACCCCCTCTGCGACTGCTCTCCTGGCATTTTCAAGTCCTGAAGGAAGCTCCTCTGGAGCAGCCCACCAAATGGAATTAACTTTCTGAGCCCTTATGGATCCAGTAACGCGTGCATGGACCCGCTGTGTTCAGGGTCTTCCCAGTAGAACCTCTCTGCTTTTTGGCCCAGCATATGGGTATCTCCCTCTGGTCAGTGTTTTTCTCAATTTCTCCTCCACTCGGGTAACTGCCTGGCTAGGGAGCCCCGTTTTTAAAATGACCACCTCACATACTACCAGTTACTGCCAGGTTCTTTCTCCTGCAACCACCAGATGCTTTCAGCTCCCCTTCTTGCTTGTTGCTTCTCTTCATGAGTCTCTTTTGTTAGCTGTCAGATTTACCTTCGGATTACAGGGCACTGGTGGGGATCAGCAGAGCATGGAGTGGCTCAGTAAAGATGTGCATGGATATGCAAATTTCAGAAAAGAACAGTGAAGCTTTCATAGCCACAGGCTTCTGAATGTGCACCCTTGCTCAACGGCAGAAAAAAGTGTTTGTATATAAGGTTGCAGGTTTGTTCAGGACCTTGTCATGTCCTTCTTAATTTTTCAGCACATGGGGCAGAGGGCACTGAGAAGGGATGAGGGAGCGCGGCAGGAGCAGGCAGGGATTTTGCTGCTGTCACCAGGAGACTCTCTAGTCTTAGTGGTGGTTGCCCTTAGTGACTATCCACACTTTCCATAGTAGCCAATTCTTCATGAAGCCAGAGTGGTTCCTCAAATTTCCAATGTAACTAGTCCCCAAATGTTACCACAGTGCCTATGAAGCAGTGGGGCTGTGCAAAGTGAGGCTGATAAAAACAGCTGAAATTCTTTAGCTTAGAAAACAAGGTGAGTCTGGGGAGACATGGTAAAAGTGTACAGGATTAGAGAAGGTGTGGAGAAAGCAGAGAGACTTTTTCTTCCTCTCCCATAATTCTAGAACTTGGGGTGATTCCATGAAGCTGATTAGTGGGAGAGTTAACAGATAAAAGGAAACACTTCTTCACACGGCTCATAGTTAAAACTGTGGAGTTCAGTTTTGCAAGATGTAATAACAGCCAGCAATTTATATGGCTTTGAAAGGGAACTGCACAAATTCATGGAGAAAATTATCCACAGCTGCTAGTCCTGCTGGTTATTTACTGTGTCTAGAGTTAGAGCCAATGTGCACATTCTTGCTAGAGAACTTGGATGGGAGAGGCCTTTTGCACTCATATCCTGGTTTTGGGATCCTGTGGGTAGCCAGTTGGCCAGCGTGTGGACAGAATTCTGGACTAGATGGACTCCAGGTCTGATCCAGCAGGGCTCTTCTTATGCATGTGCTTGTGTAGCCATCTAGGACATAATTGAGTGTAGGGCCTACCCCCCCCCCCCGCCCAACTCTGTAATTTCCAGGAGAGATATAAAAGTAGATTTTTGAAACAAAATGGGATCTCATGGTCCATAAAAGCACTCACTTCATGTTAAAAGCCATTTATGATACCTTGCTTTTACAATTAATACGCATTAACCTGAGAGTGTGTGTGACCATGGCACTCTGATGGCACAGTCAAGCGGGCGTTCCTGAGTGATCTTGGATAATGCCGAGGGAGACAGGAGCCATCCCATAGGCGTACAGTAGGCCCTGTTGTAAGGTTAGCCATCAAACACTAACAGTAGCAATATTAATTAAAAGTAGTCATCTTGTAACCCATAAAGCATTGGTATATAATCTGTACAGAAATGGGATTAGAGAAACATAATAAGGAAAATAAGACAATAATAAGGAGAATATTTTGAGGTGTCAGAAGCAAGATATTATCATCCAGGTCTTCTGCAGCCTCATTTCTTGATAGTTAATCAAATATCAAGGTCTTCTCCTTGAGGGTGGGGAATGTTGCTTTCAGAGACCTTAAGAAGGT